GGAGCCGCGGGCAGGGGGCGCAGGGCTGGGACGGTCACTGAGCCCCAGGAGGACGGCAAGCGCTAAGGGTTCCCACCTGTGGGGCAGTGGGGCTGGCCTGGGGTCGCGGGGTGAAGGGGCAGGTGGGAGAAGGGTCAGGGCTTAGACAGGTCTGTCCCTGTCCTCACATCCCCCTCCCGACACACACACACTTGGGGCGGGGGCATGTGTCTTCAGCCCCATGTGGGAGCTGGGGCCTGAGTCACCCGGAGGAAGGGATGGGGGGGGCGGTCAGAGGAGGATGGGGCCTCCTCTTCCTTCCTGCAGATGACCTTTAAGCTGCTACCTCCCCCCATCCCCCAGCCCTGACCCCCACAGCAATCCTCATCCTCATGTGCAAAGAGGGAGGGGGTACTATAGGCCAGGGACTAGGTCCACCCTGAGGGACACGCTGGGGCTGGCAGGGGCACCTGGGAGGGAGAGGACTGGGGAAGAGGCTTCTGAAACAGGCGGCCACGTGGGAGGGAACGGGCTGGCGCCTGAGCAGAGGGAGGACAGCCCTGGACCCTCCTCCGGCAGCAGAAAGGGGAAGGCGGCCCAGGTACCGGCCCAGGGCCGTGCGGGGGACAAGCTGCAGCGCCAGCCTGTGCTGAGGGACCTGGGGAGGGGCCGGTGGGCACAGGCACTAACACGTGCGAGGAGCACGGCATCCCCACCCGCTCCCCTGGGCTGCCCTTTCTTCCACAGGTGTGAGCAGAGGCAAGGCTCGCTCAGACACATGCTAACGAGCACACGCCAAGCCCAGGCCCTCAGGCACACGCATCTATGTGTGCGTGGCAGTTGGGGGCGGGGGAGATGTTGGCACAGAAGGACAGGCTTTTGCCTCAACACAGAAACCCGATGCCCCACTGCTCTGGAAAGAACACAGCTGTGAGACGCACAAACACATCAAACCGCAACCAACAAACTCCATGGCTGACGGGAGGTGACGGGGCGGCGGGTGCGGGTTCAGAGCTGTCAGACAGGCTGTCTTCCCGCGCCGGCTGCTCTCACCTCACCTTGCGGGCTGGCTCCGGGACTGCTCCCTGGGGCGGGTGAGCCATGGGCCAGGCCTGAGCAGGACGCTGAGGTGAGAGGAGCCCGCAGCAATCCCAGCTCGCTCACCAGGCGGCCTCACAGAAGACGCCGGGCATTAAACACAGCGCCCGCCCCATGGCAGGGCCCCCGACAATGGGCTGCATGGGCTGCACGGCCCCACGCAGCACACGGACACGCAGTTTCACACCCAGCCCTACGGAGCTGCACATGTGGATGCAGTCACATGTAGCAATACGTGTAAACCCAAACACTGAGCTGTACATGCAGATACAGCCATAACACACAGCTTTATTTATTTATTTTTAATATATTCTTATTGATTTTAGAGAGGAAGGGAGAGACAGAAACATCAATGATGAGAGAGAATCACTGATCGGCTGCCTCCTGCAGGCTCCCTGCTGGGGATCGAGCCTGCAACCTGGGTTTGTGCCCTGACCCTGAATTGAACCGTGACCTCCTGGTTCATAGGTTGATGCTCAACCACAGTGCCATGCCAGCTGGGCCATAACACACAGCTTTAAATGTGGACACACATACAGCTGTACGCATGGACACAAACATATGGTCATACAGCACGTCATGAATAATAGAGCCCCCCCTGAGGCTCATTCAAGCTGCCCTCTGCCCTGTGTGGACACACACAGCTGTATTCACCAGACACACAGAAAAAGACAATTGTACATGTCAACACACAACCACACACGCAGCGGTCCAGACACCGCCACACACAGAAAGTAGCGTGTGGAAAAAGCCCCCAGTGATGCTCCCAGCAGCCAGCCTCACACCCGGTCACACACAGCCATCCACACGAACACAGCCACCTCCAGCACATCACACCCTCATGCCCACTGGGCACAGCCTTCCCAGCAGACCCACCCATGGTCACACACAGAATCAAAAGCACGAGCACGCATGCACACGCACACAGGCAGCCACACAGACGCGGGCGGGCACAGCAGGGACACCTCACCTGCGGGGCAGATGCCAGCATGGACACAGGCACACTTGAGCCTCAGACACGAATGCTTCCCTTGCAGGCAGGAGAAGGCAGGCTGTGAGCTCCTCACTCCTGAGCCCGGGGGCACCCTGTGCCCAGTTCCCACACCCCTCATCCTGCTCTCCAGCAGCCTGGGGAACCTCTGGCACTGCTGCAAGGGAGGGGCAGCTGCGCTGGGGCCACAGAGCAGGGAGTGGAAGGCCTCCCGAACTCCTGTCTGCCCCCCACCCCAGGGTGCTGTCCCCCCTTCCTCTTCTTGGGCTGGGGGTGCTCCTGCCCACTCCCTACCTACCTGCACAGGGCTCCCCAAGGTAGAACACACACACACAAATGCACAGCACAATCTTAGGTGAAACAATAAAGTCTTTTGCTTTATTCTGGTTCCTGGAAGCTCCAATGTGAATCTGAAAAAAGATGTAACAGAGGCAGCAGCCCCGGGCAGGGGGCAGGGAGCAGTCCCCGCTCCTTTGCCCTGGGAGCCAAGAGGGCAGTGAGGACAGGGCTTAGCTAGAGGCCGGGGTCGAAGTCAGGTCCCCTGAGACCCCTGGCCCTCGCCTGGGCCCGGAAGGTGGAGGAGGAGGAGGCTGAAGAGTCCGGTCCGTTCCTTAGTGACTGCAGCACAGAGGAGGGGGCCTCGGGCTACTCCTCGCCTTTTTCAGGGGTACTGAGCTCCCTGGGCCACTTGGGAGCACCCAGGGGCTCAGCCTCAGGGCTCAGCCTGGGCTCCCCCAGGGGTCCCTCGCCCTCCAGGTCCAGCTCCTCAAAGGATGAGCCGCTGGCGCCCGACTCGCTATAGCTGTGCTCACTGCGGGTGTCACTGTCGTCCCAGCTGCGGCTGCTCACCCCTGGGGACAGTGTGGCCGCCGATGTCTCCCGACTGCCAGGACCCACCTCCAGGCTCACAGAACTCGCATCGCTCAGCGTGTCAGCTCCTGGGCCAGGAAGAGGGAGCGCAGGTTAGCCAGAGAGAGCACAGAGCTCGCCCACCAGCCCAGCCACTCAGCCCACACTGTTCATGAATAATAAAGCCAGCCCGGCCCAGGAGGCTCATTCCAGCTGCCCTCTGTCCTCTGCCCTCTGCCCTGACCCGCTGCACTGACAGGGAAGAGGGAGCAAAGAGGAAGGGGGGAGGGCAGCCTGCTGCGCACGCCTCCCCCTACCCCGAATTAGCCTCAGCTCCCTGC